GGAGGAACAGATAAACATAGATAAATATGATAAATGCAGACATAGTCTCCAGGCAGGGGCTCTGTGCGCGCACGCGGGTTTTGTGTGTGTGTGTGTGTGTGTGTGTGTGTGTGTGTGCGCGCGCGCGCGTGTGTGTGCGTGCGCAGGCTGCTTTGGACTCCTCAGTAGCTCCGTGTGTGTCTGTAGCGATCCAGGTGGGGTCTACTGTTCAAGGCTCAGGCAGGCCATAGACCTGACAGCAGAGGGCCCGGGCAGCCAGGCTTGAGGCTTATCACAGTTCAGGGTGTTCCAGTACCGACTGAAGAACAGTCTCAAGCTTCTTTTGGGGGGCTCTTCTTTTGGGGGCCCCTTCCTGCCAGAAAGGCCCTGGTCGCCCCACCCCACTGTTGATCCTTTGAAGTCTCAAGTGCAGGACTTGTTTTCTTCTCATTCCTTGGAAACAGGCAGTGGGTCCGCGGGGAAGGGTGTCCAGATGAATTGCTAAGGGAAGCAGAGCGCTCCTGGTGGAGAAGGTGGTGGATGACTGCAGCAGTGGTCTGAGTGCTTGGTGTGTCAGTCTGTCTGTCTGGAGCCCATCCTGACCACACCCTTCACCCACAGGTGTGCCATCATGCAGACTGCCAGCAGCTGCACCGCCAGGGGCCCCTCAACCTGTGTGAGGCCTGTGACAGCAAGTTCCACAGCACTATGCATTATGATGGGCACGTCCGCTTTGACCTGCCGCCACAAGGTAAGTCCCAAGGACCTGGCCTGGCCCCGAGGACTCTCTGGGCAGCTCAGAGTTGCCTATCTTGTTGGAAGCAGTGCTTGGGTAGCTATTGGAACCCTGGTAGGGCCTTGTGAAGAACGTAAGAGTGAAATGCAAATCTACAGATACACCCTCTCATACCTCCCACAGCTGTCCCGGCCACTGGCCAGGGCCAGCACAGGAGCACAGAATCTTCCCGATTCTGCCTGACCTTGGGGCCAGCAACTTCTGGGTGAACTCTCCATACCAGGCCGCTGGCCTGGGAGAGCAGGTTGGTGGCCACTGTGGTTGGAAGGAACTTGGGGGAGGGAATTAGAAACCCATCCTGATGAATAGGGACTGGCTCTGGAAGGCACCCAAACCAACTGTCACCTCTCCCAGCTGGTACGAAAGACAAAGGACTCTCCACTCCCCCAGGGCTCCTGGGACTTCAGGTGTGGTCATGGTAGAGGGGGAGGGGAAGCCTAAAAGGAAGAGCTATGGACTTGGTCCCTGTCTGAGACGGCCCCTGTACCCTCATGCTATAGAAAGGTAACTGAGGCTATGGGTGTTTGTACTTGGGGTGGGGCATCACCAGTGTGTCATGCCAGGGCCTATGGTCCTTTTGGGTCTGGGGCATGGATAATAACGACAGATCCCGTTCTTGGCAGACTGCAGGTCTGAGCCCCTGGGAGCTCCAAGCTCTGTACCTTTGGAAGAGGCCGTATTTAAGGGCTAAGGACGGACCAGAGAGGGAGTAGGGTCATACATAACCCCTGCTCCCTTTCTCCAAAGGCTCTGTTCTGGCCCGGAATGTTTCCACCCGATCCTGTCCCCCACGCACCAGCCCTGCTGCAGACCTGGAGGAAGAGGAGGAGAGCTGTGTGGATGGAAGAGGGTAGGTGTGGTCCGTGGACAGAGTAGCTGCCATAGGAACGAGGCCAGGCACCACACACTTCAGAGTCCTCCAGAGGGCTGAGCATTGACCCCCTGCACCCCTGCCTTCCTTCATTTGTAGGGAAACTGCCTGATGTGTGTGACTCTCTTGTTGGCCACCAGAGGGCAGACAATCCCACACAGGCAGCCGGGTACAATGCATCCAAGTTACTTCCAATTGATGAAGGGTGGAGCCTACCAAGACTCCCACTTACTTCCCACACTGGGGAGGACCGGCCAGCACCTCAACATCTGCTTCCCTACAGGGACCGGAAGAGCACTGGCCTAAAGATCTCCAAGAAGAAAGCAAGAAGGAGACACACGGATGTAAGGAGCCAGGAGGCCTGACCGCCAGGGCTCCCAGAAAACCCCCTTCTTTCCCCAGCCTTTTCTTTCCCTGGGTCTGGTGCCCCTACTGTGAACTCCAGGCCAGGGATGGGGTCTGGATGAGCATGCCCCTCCCTCCCTCCCTCCCGTATAGCTCAGAGCTGCCCGCCTGGCCCAAGTATGTTGGGGGGTAGGCACTTCTTGGGCAGGTGAAACGCTGGGATCCTCTCCTGGAGTAGGGCTGGGAGGTCCCTGGCTGTCACCTCCCTGTTGGGATTTTCATCTGGACCACGGGGTGTGTAGGGTAAGCAATGGAGTGGCACTGGAGATGCTAACAGATGCGTGTACTCTCAGGACCCAAGCAAGGAGTGTTTCACCTTGAAATTTGACCTCAACGTGGACATTGAAACAGAAATTGTGCCAGCCATGAAGAAGAAGTCACTGGGGTAGGGCCTGAGGAGGAAGTGGGGGTAGGACATAGATATAGTTCCTTTGTCAGGGCGCACAGTTTCTACATTGCGTGCATGTGTGTCTGTCTGTCTGTCTGCCTGCCTGCCGTCTGTGTCTGTGTGTCTGTGCACTCCCATGCATCTGTGCACCCTTCCTGTGGGCAGCCCTGTGTGGATGTGACACCTGCCCGAGGCTGACCTTGCACCCTAATCCTGACTGTACAGCTGTGCCCCAGAGGGACCTGGAACCCTGGGGGCGGGTGTCTGTGTACCTGTGTCTGATGATGCTCTGCATGCTGCTTGTCTTGTTTTTTTTGGGGAGGTGGCTGGAACTGTGTCTGGATGGGCTGGGGAGTCACATGAGTGCTCCCCTAAAACACGTATTTCTTCCTGCGGGGCAGGGAGGTGTTGCTGCCTGTATTTGAAAGGAAGGGGATTGCGCTGGGTAAAGTGGACATCTACCTGGACCAGTCCAACACACCCCTGTCCCTCACATTCGAGGCCTACAGGTTTGGAGGACATTACCTGAGGGTCAAAGGTGAGCAGAGCAGCAGGTGCCACCGACCACCTAGCTGGGCGGGCTGGCCGGGGCTCGTTGGAGCCTCCTGGCTATGGAGTCCTTCCTGGGCTCAGGTTCCCATTGGCCATGCTCCTGAACAAGCTCATTAGCATACAGGTGTCTTTGCTGGGTGCTGGTGCTGGAGGGTGGGGCTCCCAGGGAGGGTAGTTAAGCCTGGACTTGAATCCTCGGGGGAGAGAGGGCTCGGCCCCTCTGTCTCCCGTACCTGGGCACTGAGGACCTCTTGTGCTCACACATAGCCAAGCCGGGAGACGAGGGCAAAGTGGAACAGGGGGTGAAGGACTCCAAGTCCCTCAGTCTGCCAATCCTGAGGCCCACGGGGGCTGGGCCCCCTGTGTCGGAGCGTGTGGACCCCCAGAGCCGCCGAGAGCATAGTCTGGACATCTTGGTGAGCAGGAGGGCCTGTCGGGATGGAGGTAGGGCAGGGCACCTCCTGAGGAAGAGTCATCCGGGATTCTCCACTGCATGGCTCTTAGGGCTTAGTTCCCGCTTCTGCAAGGTGTGGTTGGCTGTGAGGACAGGGTCTCTCTCTGTATGGAACTAATCTAGACAGTAGGTTTTGTCTCTGTTCAAGTGTCCAGGGAGTCAGAGTACATGGAGTGTGTTGATCTGTGGGGCAGGAAGAATGATGTTTTCCAACAGTACATTTGTGTTGGAAAGTCAGAATATGTTACCTACTGGGTATGAGCATTTCACGGGTCTTATCCCTTTTCTTTTCTGTGGTATTTGTTCATTTGTTTGTTTATTTTTGAGACTGTGTAGCCTTGGCTGTCCTGGAATTCATTATATAGAGGAGGCTGGCCTCAAAGTCACAGAGATCACACAGGCTCTGCCTCCCAAGAGCTGAGATTAAAGGCGTGCGCCCTCACACCTGGCTCTTTTTTCTTTTTCATGTCTTTCTCTTTTTTTTAGCATTTACATTTTAAAACATATTTATTTTATGTGTGAGTACCACATACATTCAGTGCCCTGGGAGGCTCTAACAGATATCAGATCCCCTGGAACTGGAGTTCTTACAGACAGTTGTGAGACACCATGTGGGTGATGGGAACCAAACCCAGGTCCTCTGCAAGAGCAGCTGGTTCTTTGTTCTTACTCTGCTGAGCTACCTCTCCAGCCCCAACGGGACTTTTTGAAGCTGTGCTTGTGGGTGTTTCTGAGTGTGTGTGTGTGTGTGTAACTCTGAGTTTCTTCCTATCTGTTTCCTGCTTATGGCTGGGAGGCCTGGGACAGTAGCTGAGGTCTGGACATCTGGGTCTCAGGGGAGGTGGTACCCTGGGTCAAGGATGCAGAGAAACTTCTGCCTGTTGACCTGTGTTCTGAAACCCGGGTGGGAGCTGCACTTGACCATTGCTCCCTGGCCAGGCCCCTGGCCGCCGTCGCAAGAACATGTCTGAGTTCCTGGGGGAGACGAGCATCCCCGGGCAGGAGCCCTCCACGCCTTCCAGCTGTTCTCTGCCTGCCGGCAGCAGCAGCAGCAGCGGCAGCGGCGGGGCCAATGAGAGCTGGAAGAACCGGGCAGCCAGTCGCTTTAGCGGTTTCTTCAGCTCCAGCCCCAGCACCAGCGCCTTTGGTCGGGTACGTGGCGCCGTGGGCTCGGGGAAGAGCAGCCAGCTGACCCTGGGCTCGGGGAAGAGCAGCCAGCTGACCTTGACCTTGACTCTGGCTCGGGGTCTTCTTCCAGGAAGTGGACAAGATGGAACAGCTGGAGGGCAAGCTACATGCTTACAGCCTCTTCGGGCTACCCCGGATGCCACGGAGGCTGCGCTTTGACCATGACTCCTGGGAGGAGGAGGAAGAGGATGAGGATGAGGATGAAGACAATGCAAGCCTGAGGCTGGAGGACAGCTGGAGGGAGCTCATTGATGGGCATGAGGTGGGTGTAGCTAGAGAAAGTGGGTTGCTTATAAAGATTTATTATGTATACAAGTATTATGTAAAGATTTATTATGTGTACAAGTGTTCTACCTGCATGTACACCTTTATGCCAGAAGAGGGCACCAGATCTCACTACAGATGGTTGTGAGCCACCATGTGGTTGCTGGGAATTGAACTCAGGACCTCTGGAAGAGCAGCCACTGCTGAGCCATCTCTCCAGCCCGTACCTTGGAGATCTTGACAGTCACAATCCACATAATGGGGAGGGTGGCCTCCCCTCCAGATCTCTGTGTTCCTGTCAAGAAAACGAGGAAGCTGGGTGCTGCCCACCCTCCCGGGCTGCCCACCCTCCCGGACTGTCCCCACACACCCGAGGCTCCTGGCTAACCTGTCCTGCCTCTCCTGTAGAAGCTGTCCCGGCGGCAGTGCCACCAACAGGAGGCAGTGTGGGAACTCCTGCACACAGAGGTCTCCTACATCCGGAGGCTGCGCGTGATCACCAACGTGAGTGTGGACCCGGGTCCCTGCTGCTTTCCCACCTGCAGAGGCCAACTGAGTGTGCCCTCAGCTAAGCTGGGCCTCTGCCTGACAGTAGTGGAAGGCAGGCTGCAGGCTGCCTCTGGGGCGCGGAGTCCTGCGGGTGCCTGGGAGGGGTGTCAGGCGTGCTGGCCGGGAGGCTGACTTAACCTAGGTAAGGGCCCAGCTGATTCACGGCTGCTTCTCAACACAAGCTGTACGTCAGGTTCTCAGGAGGACACCCTGGCTGGGACACAGTGGGTAGGCACTTAGGGGATTCAGCTGGGGAGCGGAGCACCTGCCTTGGCCTTGGCCTTCCTGGAGGGGGTTGAACCAGGGCAGAGGTGACCCAGCGCATTCCAGGTATGCTAAGAAACCATTCTCCCCAGCTCTCCCCCAATTGGACCATGGGTGGGCTGGCGCTTCCGGACGTGGAGGGTCCAAACACCCTCTGGCTGCTTCAGGACCTTATGGGGAAGGAGTGACTTAAGAGTCTGGGCAGGGTCGGGACACCCCTACCCCCACCCCTGCTGCAGTGTCCCCTCCCCCTACAGCTGTTCCTGTGCTGTCTTCTCAACCTGCAAGAGTCGGGGCTCCTGTGTGAGGTGCGACCTGGCCTGGGGCGGTGTCGGGGGAGGGGGGTGCTGGGGCAGGGGCGGGGCCAGTTGGGAGGAGTGGGCGGGGGCGGGGCCAGCCGGGAGGAGGGGGGCGAGGCCAGCCGGGAGGAGGGGCAGGGGCGGGGCCAGCCGGGAGGAGTGGGCGGGCCGGGGCGGCGCTGACCCTCGCCTGTGCGCCCAGGTGGAGGCCGACCGCTTGTTCGGCAACATCCCTGAGATCGCGCGGCTGCACCGGGGGCTGTGGAGCAGCGTGATGGTGCCGGTGCTGGAGAAGGCGCGGCGCACACGGGCGCTGCTGCAGCCTGGGGACTTTCTCAAAGGATTCAAGATGGTACGGGCGGAGACACCGAAACCCCCCAGGGCTAGATCCTGCCTGCCCATACATCCCCTCTGGTTCCCACTAACCCTCTGGCCAAGAGAGGAAGTAGTTCGCGTTGGTGACCGGGGTTTGAGTCCTTACCACCCGGCTATGGGTGGTGACTTTGAGGCTTGGTATCCTCACCTGGAAATGCTCTCCCGCTGGGGTGGTGTGGGAAGTAAGTCCCTGAGGCCCCTGGAGTCCTGAGGTAACAGGTGCTGTGTGTGGTTCTGCTCCGGGCCAGTTCGGCTCACTCTTCAAGCCATACATCCGGTACTGTATGGAGGAGGAGGGCTGCATGGAGTACATGCGTGGCCTGCTGCGTGACAACGACCTATTCCGCACCTATGTCACGGTGAGGGCCCGGAGCTCAGGGGCGGGACCTGGGGGCCGGACCTGGTGGGCGGGGCCCGAGGGGTGGGCGGGGCCCGAGGGGCGAGGTTAACCAGAGCCCCGCCCCCACCCGCAGTGGGCTGAGAAGCACCAGCAGTGCCAGCGGCTGAAGCTGAGTGACATGCTGGCCAAGCCCCATCAGCGGCTCACCAAATACCCGCTGCTGCTCAAGTCAGTGCTGAGGAAGACTGACGAGCCCCGCGCCAAGGAAGCAGTGATCACCATGGTAACCTGAATTGTGAGCATACTGCCCTCCCAGGCTCTGTCTCTCCCAGATCCTGGCCCTAAACTCCATCATCGCCTGTCTTCAGATCAGCTCTGTGGAACGCTTCATCCACCACGTGAACACGTGCATGCGGCAGCGCCAGGAGCGCCAGCGGCTGGCGGGGGTGGTGAGCCGGATCGATGCCTACGAAGTCGTGGAAGGCAGCAATGATGAGGTGGATAAGGTGGGCGCTGAGTCTCTAGTGTCCTTCTGGAAGCTCCCGACTGTAAGAGGGGGGGTGTATGCTGCAGATCTCCCTTGGGGGGGCTCTCAGATTTGGCCCTGACCTCTCTGACATCTGCACCCCACCTAAAGCTCTTGAAGGAATTTTTACATCTGGACCTGACAGCACCCATGCCTGGCGCCTCCCCTGAAGAGACTCGGCAGCTGCTGCTGGAAGGGAGCCTGAGGATGAAGGAAGGGAGAGACAGCAAGGTGACCTAGGACCACCCCACACCCGATACCATCCTTCCTGGGGCTCTCCCCTGGGCCTGAGTCAGTGGTTCAGAGCTGCCTAGTTAGTTATATGGTAACCGTCCTAGTTTGCTTTTGATTGATGTGATAAAATGGTCAGAAGCAATTTGGGTAGGAAAGAGTGTCTCTGGTTTACACTTCCATGTCACAGGCCATCACTGAGGGAAGTTGGTGCGGGAACCCAGAGGCCGGAAATGAAGCCTGGACCATGGTGGGACACTGCTTTATAGGCTGCTCAGTTTGCTTTTCTTACAGAACCCAGGACCACCTGCCCAGAGATGGCACCACCCACAGTGGGCTGGGCCCTCCCACATCAGTCACTAATCAAGAAAATGCCCCACAGATATGTCTACTGGCTAATTTGATGGAAGTGTTTTTCTCAGTCCAGGGTCCCTCTTCCTAGATGACCCTAGCTTGTGTCAAGTTGACAAACTAACCAAGGTGGTGGTGGTGCACACCTTTAATCTCAGCACTCTAGAGGTAGAAACAGGTGGATCTCGGTTAGTTTAAGGCCAGCATGGACTACATAGTGAGTTCCAGGACAGCCAGGGCTACACAGAGAAACCCTGTCTCGAAAAACAACAGACAAGGACAAACGTTTCCTGCCACCTCAGGATCCTATTCATGACCCTACAACCCTGGCTTCCCCTCCACAGATGGACGTGTACTGCTTCCTGTTCACTGATCTACTCTTGGTGACCAAGGCCGTGAAGAAGGCAGAGAGAACCAAGGTCATCAGGCCACCGCTGCTGGTGGATAAGATTGTGTGCCGGGAGCTTCGGGACCCTGGTGAGGAATTCCGGCCCCCTGTTCTTGGTCAAGGGGCTGCCATGGGCAGGGGCTGTGATACTAACCTGGCCCTTCCATGACCAGGCTCCTTCGTCCTCATCTACCTGAATGAATTCCACAGTGCTGTGGGGGCCTACACATTCCAGGCCAGCAGCCAGGCCTTATGCCGAAGCTGGGTGGACACTATTTACAACGCCCAGGTGAGACCTGAGTGACGGAGGGGTGCAGGGAAATGGGGCCTGTTCTCAGGGCTCACTCTGTGTCTGTGCCCACTCAACCTGCAGAACCAGCTGCAGCAGTTGCGTGCACAGCTGTGTGCACAGGAGCATCCAGGCAGCCAACACCTGCAGAGCCTGGAAGAGGAGGAAGATGAGCGCGAAGAGGAGGGTGAGGAGAGTTCCTCAGCTGCCAGCTCCCCCACCATCCTGCGGAAGAGCAGCAACAGCCTCGGCTCTCAGCGCTGGTATGTGTACCCCAAGACTACCTGGTAAGCTGGGGCCTCGTGCTTATAATCCCAGCACTTGAGAGCTGAGGCAGGAGGATTACCTCAAGTCATGCCAGCCTGGGCAGCAAAGTAAGACCTTGTCTCAAGAAAGGAAGGAAGGAAGAAAGGAAGGAAGGAAGGAAGGAAGGAAGGAAGGAAGGAAAGAAAGAAGAAAAGACAGACAGACAGACAGACAGGTAGACACAATCTACCCACCAAGCTAAGGTACATGGCTATAATACCAGAGGTGAGGCTGGAGGATTGCCAAACATTTGAAGCCAGCCTGGTCTTTGTAACAAGCTCTAGGCTGCACAGCAGAGCAGGTCACACACACACAATAAAAACATTCAGTAGGGTCCATCAGGACAGGTTGCCCCAGCCAGCCCAGGACGCTGATAGGGACTCTCCTCTGAATCGTGTCATGTTGTGACCCCAGTGGGAGTGTCAGGGGACAGCGCTGTCTCCTGCCAGAGGCCAGGCATGGAGGACAGTTTGCCACATGACCCTTTACCTGTAGCTGTCTGCAGCCTGTGCACAGCTGTGTCAGGTCAGGAGAGGTGCTGATGTCAGGGACCACATTTGAGCTTCGAGCCCTGAGTTCCCTAGGCTGCTTTAGGGTTTTTGGGTATGTTCTGGCCGACTGACAATCCCTCTGGCCCCTACAGTGCCTCAGATGGCTCCACCGAGACCCTGGCCATGGTTGTGGTAGAGCCTGGGGAGACACTGTCTTCTCCCGAGTTTGACCGAGGCCCCTTCAGCTCCCAGTCGGACGAGACCTCTCTCAGCACCACCGCCTCATCGGTGACTCCCACGAGCGAGCTGCTGCCCCTGGGCCCGGTGGACGGCCGCTCCTGCTCCATGGACTCTGCCTATGGCACCCTGTCCCCCACTTCTCTGCAAGACTTTGTGGCCCCGGCCCCTGTGGTGGGGCTTGTGCCCCAGCCCCTGGAGTCAGCGCACACCCCCTCGCCCCCGTCCTCACCCCGCCTCCGCCGCCGCATCCCTGTCCAGCTGCTCCCTCGCCTGCCCCGCCTGCTCAAGTCCAAATCCGAGGCCAGCCTCCTACAGCTGCTGTCTGCAGCTGCCCCCCGGGGAGTGCCCCCAGCTCCTAGCCGCAGCCTGTCAGAACTGTGCCTGATCACTGTGGCCCCTGGGGTGAGGACTCGGAGCTCCCTTCAGGAAGGTGGGCCTGGCTGGAATTGCCCAGGGGCCTGTGGCCCTAGCCAAGGCTCTGAATTGTCAGAACCTGAGAACAGAGCCAGCCACTCCACGAGGGGACCTACAGGTTCTGCCAGAAGGAAAGACATCTCTTCTGGGGCTGCTCCCAGGGTGCAGCCTGAGCCGCCACCAGGGATCTCCGCTCAGCATAGGAAGCTGACCCTGGCCCAGCTCTATCGGATCAGGACCACCCTGCTGCTGAATTCCACGCTCACTGCCTCGTGAGTGGCCCGGCTGGGGGGGGGCAGATGACTCAGTGTGATGGTGTGGGTAGTACTGAGTCTTGGGAGTGGGTAGTGACAGTACCCATGCAAGCATCAGCATTGGGGATGGAGTGTGAAGAGGTGCTTTAGACCTGTCCCAGTGCCAGGCGGGAGTATCTGTAGAGGCATCAGTGAACGGGGCCAGGACCATGGTGGAGAGGAGGGTTAGCTAAAGCCACTTTGTGACTGGACAACCGAGGATGGACTTTCTCCCCGCCCCTTGCAGAGAGGTCTGAGCGGAAGGAGACCCCAAGGGTGACGCTGACTAAGGGACAGCAGAGAACATGCCGCCTGGGGGATGTGGCACCGGTGTCACTGCTGCCGCCTCGTGTGCGTGTGCCAGAGTGCCAGGCAGAATGGCTACCCATCACTCCGTGGTCAGTTTGCACTTTGCCGGACTGGATGGAATGGAGAAGGGCTCCATAGAGTTCCGGGCCCTGGCTGCCATGCTCCGCCCTCCCCAGGCAGCCCCTTTTCCTCTGCTCTTGACGTGGCTGGCCCTGATCCTCCGGGCTAGGTTCCCCAACTGCCCTCCCCGCCACCCTCATTTGGACTCGTGCTGGCCTCTGAGGCTCGGGCTGGGCTCTGTCACGCTGCGTATTTATTGAGTCTGGATCTTTTATAAAGACTTGTATATACTGTTCTGGAAAGAGTCCTGTGCTTCTGGGACCCCATCTGTTCCCTGCTCGCGTGCATTGAGCTGGCTGGGTGTGTGTGTGTGTCTCCAGCTGTAGTGGGGCCCCTGTGGGAGAAGAAAGATACTGTGGGCCAACACCCCAAGACCAAACTTGCCTCCTGCCACAGCCCGGAGGCCACAGTGAATTGGGACCTCCAGGAAATGCTTCTTGATCCTGCCCTCTCTGAATCTTCGGATTCCTTAGAACTCAGGGCTCTGTCCATCCCAGAACCCCTGACACAACTGTTCGGGGAGATATAGGTCTCCTACCTGTTTCCCCACCCCATCCCACGTACTCGAGGCCCAGAGAAAGGACACTTGCCCTGGACCCACCTCTAAGCATTGGCTCTCAGGGCTGAAGCTAGGCCCAGGGTGGCTTCAGGATGCAGCTTGTCCCGTTTGGGCTTAGTCAAAGCCTGTGTCGGCTCCCAGTGTGCACCACACCGGGGAAGGTCTGTGGCTGGTAGAGTCACGCCCCCTCAGCTGCCAAAGAGAGGCAGACCCCTCCCTGGCCATCCCCCCCGAGGCGGGCTTTTCTGGATGGCGCGGGCGGGCGGGCAGGCTCTGGGCTAGGAGCTCAGCGGCTGGGCTGGTGGGGAAGCCCCGGGCTGCGCGACCAGAGTAGCACTCAGAGGGCCCAGGTGGTGCAGACCGCCATGGAGCCACTGCCCCTGGGACGCATGGCTGAGGTGAGTGGGGTCGAGGGAGGCCAGGAAATAACCTGGAATCTGACCTGCATCCCGGGAGCCAAGCCTCTCCTGGAGGGTCACGGGGAGCGGCGTCTCAACTCCGACCTCCTTGAGGGCTGAGTTGCCTCCACCCGCGACCTAGTTAGAGGTTCAGGCGCGCCCTTCCGCTAAGAGGAAGCACACACTCCGAGGAAAGGGGTCTGGGGGCCTCCACCTCGCGGAAGGCCTGGTTGGGGACAGGGTGGTTCAGTCTCGATGGGTGTTGGGGAAATGGGCCAAGGGCTGTCAAGGGGCCATTCTCTGCTGTTGATAAGCTGGGTCTGTAGAGGGAGAAGGAAATTGGTCCCCCTTCCATGGCCCACCCCATTCTGCCCAGGAGCCTGAGAAGTGAGCTACTCAGAAAGCAATTCTGCTGGGCTCTGGAATGGAGGAAGAGCCTGGGAGGGAGAGGTGGCCTCCTGGGGCAGCCACACGGGGGTCAGCAGCACGTGTTCCTCAGGCTCTCTTTCTGCTACTGCTGCTGCTGCCGCCGCCGCTGCCCGCTGGCCAGGGCCAGGGCAGCACTCCTGGCAGGTGTGACTGTGCCAGTGACCCACAGAAGAGGTTTTGTTGCAGGGGCTGCCCAAAAGGTAGGTGCTGGAAGGGTGAGGAGGGGGAAGCAGGGGAGGAGAGCAGTGTCAGGGTGGGGGGGCTGAGACAGGCTGGGGTCCGGGGAGCTGGGGGGGGGACCACAGCTGGGAGGGAAGGAGAGAGCCAGAGACAGGAAGGGACAGGCGGGGAGCAGGTTTGACCCTGACACCTGCCTGGGTTCCGCAGGACACTACATGAAGGCCTCCTGCACAGAGCCCTGTGGCGACTCCACCTGCCTTCCCTGCCCTCAGGGCACTTTCTTAACCTGGGGAAACCACTTTAGGACTGACTGCACCCGCTGCCAAGCCTGTGATGAAGAGGGTAAGAGGCTGCCTAGGGCTCAGGGGACTCTGGTGGACAGGCCATGGTCAGGGCCATTCAGAGCTGGCTGGGGCCCAGTCTTTGGGCGTGGACTCCTGTGTTCAGTCCACTGCGGAGGATCCACCAGGTATTCTGCTCCAGTCTATCCTTCTGCTCTCCCCTGTGGCCTTCCTGTTTCCACATGCCTTGGCCTCTGGTCAACTCTGAGCTGCTCACGTCTGCCTGTGGGACAACCTTCTCTGGGAGGTTGTCCCTGCTTCTTTGTGGAGCCCAGTAGCCTTGACACATCCGTGTTCCCACATTCTTGCACCCCCCTTCCCCCCCCAGCTTTCCAAGTGACCCTGAAGAACTGTTCAGCAGTGTCGGACACCCAATGTGGCTGCCAGTCAGGCCGGCTTCTTGTCTGCTCCACCGAGCCATGTAGGGAAAGTTCACCCTTTTCTTGCCACCCATGCTCAGATTGTACGACTCCACCAACCCCTGGTGAGTACCCCATCCTAGGCTGTCTACCCTAAGCCACTTTCTTTCGGCTCCCTCCTCTCCTGCCCTGACACAAACCGTCTCTTGTTCTGCAGGGCTCTGCCAGCCTGCCTGCTATGGCCATGGCAATGACTGCACGTTCTGCCTCACATAAGGGGCTGTCCTGGACCAGGAGGGAGGCTGGGAGGGAGGCTGGGAGCAGGGTGGGGGCTTTGGGGGCGGCTTGGCTTTGTCATGGAAGGGCATTTCAGACAACAGGAGGGTAAAGCATTATGCAGATACATAAAGGAGCATATCTTCACTTCCTGCCAGAATGTCCCTTGGCCCTTCCACCCCCCTATTTAGGATGGATTTCTCATTTATTTGGTTGCACTGACTGCCAGAGCTTTGAAACTTAGGCTGAGACTAGATTTGCTGCTAGTCCTTGGCTAGCTGCGAGATCTCAGGTTTTCCCTCTGAACATGGGGGTGCTGTGATGTTCTTCCGAGAGCTGTAATAAGGGGAAAGGCACCTTATCTGCTCATCCACCTGAGTCTGTGCTATCTCATAGACCCTGATTTAGGCACTAGGACTATCCAGGAACTAAAGATGAAAAGTCCTGTTCTTGTGGAGTCTGGCTAGAAGCTCAGTAGTGATGGTTGATATTAGTGACCCAAGTGACATTTCAGCCACACTTGGGGAATGTTTGGGGGCAGGATGAGGCTCCCAGGATGGAAGCGCCCACCTCCTGCCAGATGGGGAAGGTGTCAGGCACTCCTGGGTAGCCTTCAGTCTGTCCCCCTCCCTTTACAGGGGTTTCAGCAGACATCCTGACGCCTACAGGACAGCCTGCTGTGGCTGGCAGTGGAGTAGGTGATAATGCTGGGAATTCTGGTGGGAAGGCTGGCTGGGGCGGCCAGTGTGGGGCAGGGGGTGGCTGCTAGCCGGCACTCACCAGTTACTGTTCTTTCAGTATTTTGGGTCCAGGTGCTTCTGGGGGCCACATTCCTGCTCGGGGCCACCCTGATCTGTGCGTATTGCCGATGCCAGCCTTGCAGGCCTGTGGTTCCTGGTAAGTCCATACATGCATTGCACACATGCATTACCAGAGGCCTGGGGTAAAGATAGGTACTCCAGAGCCTCTGGAACTCTGATGCAGAAGGGGAAACTGAGGGAAGGAGTATGAGGTGCAAAAGGACTCGAGGCCCTGAACTAACGCCCAAGCCTATGGGCCTTGCCTGCTGCTGACTGGGCCTCTCTGTCTCTGTCAGCAGACGCAGCTGGGATGGAGACCCTGACCCCACCACAGGTAACTACCTCAGTGCTGGGAAGCTTCTGGAACTAGGAGAGTGACAGCCCCAGTGCTCAGCATGGTTGTAACAGATCAACGTGCTAAGAGCTGAGTTATCAGTGAACAAGACCAGCCACAGCACCTGCTCTCAAGTGACTGTCTACTGATGTCACACAAGTCCCCCAGGCCAGACACTGAAGGGTTGAACACCTCCAAAGGACGGGGCGGGGCGGGGAGGGGGGGGAGGACAGACTTCAGGCATACACAGTAGACCTGCTGCTGGGCCACGGGAGTGTCAGTGTGTGTACGCACAGAATCTAGGAAGGCGATTCTGCTTCCTGAGCCAGGAAATGCCCACTTTGGCCAGAAACTTGCAAAGTCCTTTCTAGATACACATGGCTGACCTGGTCCCTCCCCCCTTCCAGACTACCCATCTTTCAGCCTCAGACAGCGCCCACAGCCTCCTGGCACCCCAAGACAGTACTGGGAAAGTCTGTACCACTGTCCAGTTGGTAGGCAACAGCTGGATCCCTGGTTTATCCCAGACTCAGGAGATGGCCTACAGCCAGGCTCCCCAGCCCTGGAATCAGCTGCCAAACAGAACTCTTGGTAAGTGATCCAAGTGGCTGAGGCCTGACCCCATCTTCCCAAGTCCAAGGTGGGACATTGTTATTACACAGCCGACTTCCTGTCCTCTCCGGGTGATTTCTGTCCTGCCCAAAGAAGTCCATTAAGCCCCGTGGTGGAAAGCATCCTCACATCCCTGATCCCACCTCAGGCCTTCCTCTGGCACCTCCGCTCTCGCCAGCGCCCCCTGCAGGCTCGCCGGCTGCTATGCTCCAGCCTGGGCCGCAGCTCTATGATGTGATGGATGCGGTCCCAGCCAGACGGTGGAAGGAGTTCGTGCGCACGCTGGGGCTACGGGAGGCGGAAATTGAGGCCGTGGAGGTGGAGATCTGCCGCTTCCGAGACCAGCAGTACGAGATGCTCAAGCGCTGGCGCCAGCAGCAGCCTGCAGGCCTGGCTGCCATTTATGCGGCCCTGGAGCGCATGGGGTTGGAAGGCTGTGCCGAGGACCTGCGCAGCCGCCTGCAGCACGGCGGCCCGTGATGAAGCCCACCAGCCTCTTTGTCACTCTAGGGACCCTTGCAGGAGCCTTAAGTATCGTTACTTATGCGTGTAGACATTTTATGTCACTTACTGACCCCCTAGCACCGTCCTGGTCCTGCGTAGCAGCGCCAGGTGGCTTCGCCCCTGCTTCCCTGCCCCACGGAGCTCCAGCTAAGGGAAGCGTCATGGAGAAATACTGGAAGGGGCCAAGTGACTGGTTGCACAGCTGTTTATCAGCCTGAGTTTGGACTTGGTATTAAATATTTTAAGTAGCTTCTTGGTGTTTCAGTGGGGGCTAGGGGTGTCAAGTGGCGCTCTGGTTCCCTTTGTTTCCCCGGGAGCTGAGTGGGCTAGGGGTCCTGAGGCCTTAGGAACTGCGGCGCACAGTGGAAACCAGTGGCCTTAGCTCCCACGCCAACCCCTCACGCATCCGCTTTGACCCAGTGGCCCCAGAAGGAGAAAGTCAGTAAGACGGCGGCGAGTGAGAGTGAATGAGAGCCACAGTTGGCGGATAGAGGTTTAATGGGGGAAGGAAGCGGGTGGGGGATGGGGTCAGGAATAGCTGCAGGTACAGGAGCAGGGTCCCTGGCCCTCCACTTACACCACTGGGACCATGTAAGAGTCGGGGGAGCACGGGTCCTGGCTGGGGACTGGGAGGGCTTAATTGGGCTGGGGTGGGAGTTAAGGTGGGGCCCCTCGGGAGCGGCAGCTCCGCCCCAACAGGCAAGTTTCATCGTTTCTGGTAAACAAATGACTGAGAGGAAACCCTCGCCCGGGGATGAGAAATGCAGCCTAGCCCTGGCTAGCGCAGATCTGGGTCGTGGAGGGAGGAAAACCCCTTCCCCGAGCTCGGGGTCTGTCTCCACCCAGCATACGCTGGCAATGTGGGTTCCGGGCTGCGGGGGAGAGGGCTGCAGCCCGGCGTGCGCCCTGCAGGAAAAGTCACCACCCACGGGGCTGGGGAGAGCTCAGCACAAGGTAGACGAACATGCAAATAGATGTAAGTGAGCATGCAAATAAGCATATTTTTTCTCTTTTCTTTTTCTTTTTTCTTTTTTTTTTTTTTTCTTTTTGTGTCAGCGGCTTGGGCACGTTTTCCAGGCGACAGCGGCAGCACGCAAGCACTCCAGCAGCAGGGCCGGGGATGTGGGGCCAGAGAGGGGGACAGGGAGGGTTCCGGCACCGAAGGGAAGGGCGGCAAGGCTCCCAGCCCCTCCGCACCAACCTGGCAGGATGGGGCGGGGGCTGGGGGGGCCGCTCCCCATCTCTCAGAACTTGTGAGGCTGCTCGCCAGAGGCCGAGACTCCTATTACTTAGGGATCTCCCCCTTCTTCAAGATGACCTGTCGCTGCCAGGGTGCGAGCTTGGCCTCGTCGTAGCCCAGTGTCCGCAGCTTCTCGGACTGTTCTCTCGCCCTCTGCATTTCTTCCTGCTTTTGTCTCTCCTCCTCTTTTCTGTTTATGGGTGGCAAAACTCAGTGATGCCTGGGGACGACCCTGGGGCAGGCCAGACACCAGGACGGCAGCGGGAGAGGAAGCTAAGGGAACTTCTCTGCTTAGGTCCCGGGGTTTTCAGGGAGGAGTTACAGGGACACTCAGAAGAGAGGGTAAGCGGAGGCGAAAGCTGGATTATTTTTGTGGAGGAGTATTACTGGAAAGAGGTGCTGGGTCATGAGGTGGCCCTGTGTGGGGATTGAATGTTACCGAGTTCAGGGGATCAATGACAGGAGGCCTGTCATTGGAGACAGGACTTGAGTTGTTAGGGAGCTGTCCATCTAAATTACCAGGGAATAGGGTGGAGATGTTGGGGATCTCATTACTGGGGAACAGGCCAGCAAGCTAGCTAGGGACAGGTTCTCAGAGCACAAGGCTAGGGCTGGGGGTCCAGCTCCCCAGTAAGAGTGCTTGCCTAGAGCACTGAGCTTTGATCCCCAACTCTGAAAAAGCATAAGGGTAGATTGCTCTGTTGACCACTTACCCTGCCTGCTGTGAGCAACTGAAAAGTTCAAGTTGCCATGCACATGGTCCTTTGAAAACTAATTTTTTAAGGGAAAGAAAAACATTCTTTCCCTTAAAAGAATTGAAAGAAAAAATTGATATTTGGGGGGGGGGTCTTGATGTATTGCAAGCTAGCCTCAAACTTGCTATGTTGACAAGGCCACTTTGAACTTCTGATCCTCCTGCATGCTGGAATTCAGGCCTGTGCCATCTCTCCAGGGGTTGGTTGTTGTTTTGTTTTGTTTTCAGTTTCATTTAATTGAATATATATGAGTATTTTGATTTAATTGAATATATATGAGTATCTGCCTGCATTTATGTCTGTGCACCACATGTGTGCCTGGTGCCCTAGGAGGCTAACAGAGGCCATTGGATCCTCTAGAACTGGAGTTATAGATGGTTTTGAGCTGTGTTGTGGTTGCTGGGAGTTGAACCTGGGTCCTCTGGAAGAGCAACAAGTGTTTTAACTACTGAGCCATCTCTCCAGTCCCATGACTCCAGATTTATGTGTAATACTGGAGGTTGAACCTACCAGCTGAGCTATGTATGCCTAGCTCTCATTAATAACTCTCACGTTGAAATGCTGAAATAATGCTTTTCATGCATTAAGTTTTAAGATTAGGTTTACCTATCTCTTTAAAAATGTCTCAATGTGGCCACCACAGAATTTAAAGCACACATGTGGTGCACATTATGCCTCTATCTAGCAGCACCAGGATGGATTCCTGGTACAGAAACGAAGTTGAGGGGAACATGAATGATCAAGTTATTGAGCCTGGAGTTAAAATAACTGTTCTTGGGGCTGGAGAGATGGCTTATCAATTAAGATCGTGTACTACTCTTCCAGAGGACCCAAACTGGATTCCCAGCACCCACATTGGGTGGCCCATAACCACCTGTAACTCCAGCTCCAGAGGATCCGACACCGCTGGTCTCCATAAGCACATGCCTTACTCACACACAGGCATGCAGACATACACATAATTAAAACAGAAAAACCAGGATAGAAAGGGTAGGCTTTTGTTTGTCTTTTGTTTTAAGATAAGGTCACCTGTAGATCAGGTTGACCATGAACTGGCTCTGAAGCCAAGGATAATCCTGCCTATACCTCCCAAGTGGGATGATAGGTATGTTGCTAACACAGTTGGCGAAAAGCTAGGTTAATAATAGGAGATGGGGGTCTAGGTAACAATGTGATCAGAGCATGAGAGCTAGACTTGGCAGGTGCTAAGTAATTAAGGGTCTGGTGTCATTATTGGAAGCTGAAAGGTTACAATACGAGGACTGAAGTAATGGGCTGGATGAAGGAGCGAACGAGCCTCTGTGACTGGGTGTAAGAAGTGGTAGGTCGGGGCCAGTACTGTACTCACCGCTTCTGCTTCCTGGAATGAGAAAGAGACAGTATTAGATGACATCACAGCCCCAGAGATAGTCAAGATGCATGCCAAGGAGCTCCTCTAGACACTCACTTCTCCTCTTCCCGCTTCTTCCGAAGAATGTCTCGTCTCCAGGCAGGCAGGCTGGCCAGCCAGGCCTCCTCCTCTTCCTCCTACAACACAACCACACAGCTTCAGGACCAGCTTGACTTGTGATTTACAGGCCAGGGGCATGCACTTCCAACCCAGGGGGCATGGAGAATTCAGGGACGGCAGAATATAGATGTGTTTATAAGAAAAGACCTTTTTGGTGGCCTCCTACGATGCAATCAGATAATGGTGCTTGGTGATGGCCTGCTCAAAAGGGGCATCTGCTCCCCAGTGACCCGACCAGTTTCCTAAAGGCAGAGCCAGATAGATCAGAGGAGGTGAAAGGGCAGAAGCAGGAAAGTAGCTGGGTCCTGATTTCCCACGAAGCAGGTGGCTAGATGGCCCCAAGCCTGCTTTCCAGAATCTCTAGGCAGATACAGACTTGTACCACACACTGGGTCAGCTCAGAAAGATCCAGGCTGCTTTCAATTTCCTATGGAGGGCCAGCTGGCCCATGCTTGCTCTTTTCTTAGTGGGACAGGGAACGTTCCACTATGTGGGGCTACAATGACGTGGGGAGAGGTGTACCAACATAGCCCATAACAGAGTGCTTTATTCCTTGGATGTTACAGAAGAGAAAGGGTCTGTGCACATCACACACCACACAGAACACTGCACGGGTGGCCAGGCAGGTAGCTGTAAACTCCAGTGGAAAACCAGAGATGGACAGACAGAACTACACTGCCCTCGGGGGACCCAGAGTTCCTTAACTTCTGCTGCCTGGCTTCATAGAGAGCAACACCTGACGCCCTGCGACTAACCAATCTCACAAACGCCTCACTTTCTCCCTCCTAGGGGACCTCAAAAGCCCCAGAGAAGCAGGCTTTTTGAGAATCTGGTTCTTTCTGTCTGATTCTGGCCTCCAGATGTCAGACAGGCATCCAGGCACAAAACTAAACTCTAAATTTGCTGTCAGATGTCAAAGAGTTCTGCCTCCTTCTCCTTCCAAAAGGAGAAGCTCCGGTCAATATAGCGGCAAATGTCCTCGTTGCTGAATTCACCCATCTCGGACACCAGCTCCAAGGGCTCTTCAGCTGGGGGCTCTGAACTAGGCAGGTCTGAGGTTGGGGGAGGCGCAGCGGGAGGAGGCTGCGGCGCAGGGGCTGGGGCCTCTGAGTGCCCCTGTGGCGGGTCCTCTGTTTGAGCAGGGGCAGATTCTTCAGAGGGCTCCTCCTCTCTCTCCTTGTCTTCCTCTTCCTCTCTCTCCTCCTCTCTCTCCTCCTTGTCTTCCTCTTCCTCTCTCTCCTTGTCTTCCTCTTCCTCTCTCTCCTTGTCTTCCTCTTCCTCTCTCTCCTCTTCTCTCTTCTCTTTGTCTTCCTCCTCCTCCCTCTCCTCTTTCTCCTCCTCCTTTCTCTTCTCCTCTTCCCCTTCCTCTTTTTCCTCCCCCTCCTCCTCTTCCTCCTGGTCTTGTTCCTTCTCTTCTCCTTCTTCCTTCTCTTGGGCCTCTTCTGGAGTCGGCTCAGACTCGGGACTGTCTCCGAAGAACTGGCGCCTGAGATCCTCAAAGCCATCGTCCCAGCCGCGCGTTCCGGCCTCCACCTCCTCCAGCACTACTCGGTGGAACTGGCGGATAAGCTCCCACGGGTGGCTGCCCAGCCGGTCGAACATCTCGTAGCACAGCAGGTGCCGGAATTTCCTTTCCTCCCGGCTCAGGCCCATCTCCAGTAGCTGAAAGTAGCCTAACATGAAGAGATCCAGGGTGAGACTGTCGTAGCTCCGCGGAGTGCCGCCGTCGAGTGGTGGCAGGAAGT